GAAAGATCGTTAGTATTTTGAAATGAAAAATGTGTCTGTTTAATTATTAGACAATTCTTTTGGGAGAGAAAGAAAAAGGGGATATATAATTATTCAATCAAAAATTTAAATAATTGATATTATCCAATTCCAAAATTCATAGATACAAATATATCATCTTCGTATATTATAGGTATCGAAAATTTCATAGAAAGAATTTCCTTACCCTTGAATTAATGATTCTGACTTTCCTTTCTGAAAAGGACAACAATCGAATCAATTATATATTTTCGTATTTTATTTAGGTTTTCTCGATATTGTTATGATGATGTTTTTAAATTTTAGTTGATGCTTTACTTAAAAATGGGTTCTGTGTGCTATTTTAAAACTTTATAGGGTATCGTTAATGTGATTATAAAACGATTAAAAAGCCACACTAAAATAAATAACTTAGAGAGAAGTTATAAAATAAAAATTTTGCTAATAATTATTATAAATTGATTATCCATTTGCTATCATTGTGGCAATTAATTTAATATTTCAACTTTAGATTGACCACTCAGATGTACACAAGGATATAAATCTTTTGATGTGTCAATTGTCAAAGCCTAAGAATAAAAATAAAAATTAAAATTAGTACGAACGATTAATTTGTAGATGACTTTTTCCACGTTATATATTTATTGTTTATATCCACTTCCACTATTATAATATCATTTATTGAGTATGAAAATGCTACCTCTTCAGTTTTATCTTGTTAATCGTGATTATAACAATACCCCTCATCCCATATATTGTATGTTCTATATTAATTTATAATAGAAATATAAATACCCTCCTCCAATAGAATAACAATCATAATACTCCTTGCTCTACACAATATCTCTAAAGCCAATTCCTATCATTATTCTTCCTTTTTCAATTATTTTAATTGCAAAATAGATGATTCCATTCTTAGGTATCATTTAATCACATATAGCGCAGCACCAACCAACTTAAGCATTTTCAATAACCTTTGCATTTTAAGTTACCTAAAGATTGTTATGTTTATAAGTTTTTGAAAATGTCAATGATTGTGAAAATTACCATTCCTAATTACTCTTATTCTTTACCTACACTATACTTTATTATTATAACTATTTCAATATTTCCTCGTTCTTCTCATTCGATTCTTAGCACTTTTCTAGTTCTTCTTGTTTCTGTCTTAACTTAATTTCAGACTCAACCTCTAATAGAAATAGAATAATTGCTACTTTATTACTCAACTTCTTTCAATTCAATCATTAGTCTTTCATTTTTATTCCTTAGATCTAAAATTAATTTTGTTTATTCTTAATCCTTTATCTTGAAATCATTTATCAACTATTGATCCCCTTAATTAATTTTCAAAACATCTCTTGGGTGATTTTTTAGAAATTCTACATCTTTTGAATTTTTATTCATCTGAATCTCTATTTTTTACTACTCCTTTATCTAATTTTTGATTTGTCCAATCTCTTAATCCTTTATTTTAATAATCTCCTCATATTTTAATTATGTTTCTTGGAAATTAATTATTTTCTACTATAGTTCTTGAGTCAGCTTAACTTAGGTTTTGTTCAAAGTTTATTCAACTTTTTAGACTTATTTTGAAACCATAACCTTTACTAATGGAGATATTTTCAAAAGCAACTGATTTTCCAAATTGATTGTACTCGAGGGAATTTATTGAACACACAAATTCAAACTTTGATTAAAACTTGGAGATGGTAAATTGGTGCTGCAAATGCAATTTATTGGGACAAAAACGTTCCCAATAAAATCGTTAATTCGATTGTAGGAGATCTAAATATAAAGTAAATATTGACTTCCAACTATTGGTAAACTTCTTATAAACCTGCTTCAATTTCATTTTGTACCTCTGGATTCATTTTAATGGACATTTATTAAGCCAACATATTAGATATTTTTATAGAAAATAGAAAATTTATTATTGAATAATAAAGTAATAGAAGATATTATTTATTGAATTATAATTTATGCTTCTAACTTTCCCTACAATATATTAACCAAAGGAGAGAAATTTATAAAATTCAACTGTAATGCTATAATACTTTGATGTATATCCAAAAGATCAAGGTCTAGGTTTTTAAGGTATTCCTAATATAAGGATTTTTTACAGTAGATATGCTATGTTGAAATGAAATGCTACTTTTAAATTTTTATAGAATAAAATCTTATTCTAACCAGAATAAGAAGTCTTAAGAGTATGTATCTAAAATAATGTTGTTAAAAAAATTAAAATTATTTTCAAATTATTTTGGAATATTTTTCCTCCATAATTTAGATAATGCATTAGCAGTCTTATAAAATAAAAAGATAAAGATTTTCTGATTAATTTCTTTATAGGTTTGTTAATAATCACATATTTCTGATTAGTGAATCTTGCGAACAAAAAATAATGCGCCATGATAAATTATATTATTGACCCAGTAAAGAAGAAAGGCTCAGAAAACATATTTTTTGTTGTGTTAATTAATTGCTTGAAATCTTGAAAGAAACTTCTAAAATATAATAAATTTTAAAGGATTCAATGGTTCAGTATATACCATATGAATTTAATTATGTTCAAATAAAGTAAAATGTATATAAATCCAAATCAATAAAATTGTTTCTAAATTTAGATGCCTTGATTTTAATTACTAGTGAGAAAATCATTATATATTTACTTAATTTTATGATTTATCAAAGTTTTTAAATTAGTCAGGGATCTTCTAATTTATTTAGAATCAAAATGAAAGATGAGGTTCAAATTAGTTTACAATATCCAAAATAAATTAATTTCTCAAAATTTCGCAAATATATAAACTATTTTGTAAGTCTTTCAAATTATTTCAATCTTTGGGTATCACTTAATGTAAAAATTCTAATTATTTTTGCAGAATCAAATTAAATCTAAAGAAATCCTTAATATTACCAAAATCAGGTGAGTGATAAAAAGCGTATTAGGTCTTTTAAATTACACTAAAGGATTTAATTTTTAAATAAACTACATGATAAAGAACTACCGTCCAATTAATACATTGATATAAAATGATCTACTCTAAGTATATTAAAAAAGCCAAAACATTTTACAGTTTTAAAAAAATCTAGTTTCGTTAAATACATTTAAATTAATTTATTTAATTGAAA